TGTCAGATCGCCATTCCGCAGCACCTCTCTCTTGAGCACCAGGAAAAAAGGTAGATGGAACTTGGTCTGATGCGTTTCCGTTCACCACCCCCATACCTTGCGAAGGACTACTAGATATTTGTTGAGCAGATCCAACCGAACCCTGGTGATTCAAACCGAACCGCGCAGTGAGCTCGTCCGCCCAAGGATTCGACCCGTCCCCGGCCGAATTCCGGATTGGCGACCTCTGCGCCTGTTCCAACGGCATGAGGTCAAAAGCAGGTGAGGTATTGAGGTCGGGGGAAAAGACTGATTCCTGAGAAACAACCCGATGAGGTTGGGGAGAGCTTTGAGCCCGTCGCGGGCGAGTCAGGCGTTTTGGCGACGAGGATGAGAGAGATTTGGAAGTCGGAGAGAGTTTGGAGTTGGTGAAACGGGACCCTGTACGGTCATTACCTTGAGGAAGGCTGTTGAGGCGTGGCGGAGCTCGTTTTCGCAAGACCATGAGGTGGAATCTTAGTGTACGAGGCCCGGGGTTACCGAGCTCACGGGGGAATCACAAGAGGGTTGGACAAGCTTGGGGGCCAATAAAGTGCGGTCAAGGAGCCAGTCAGAAGAGTTAGATCGACAGGCTTCCTTTGATGACAGGTGAGATTGCCTAGTTTGACAGTCTGACGCACGAATGGGCGCCAGAGTGCCGCAGACGTGGTTGGGAGCTCTCGGGGATGTATACGTAACCAGGCAGTGGCTCCGGAAAAGACGAGGAGATCAAGATTAGCCAGTATACGCGAGAAGGAAAGCAGCAGCCACAGCCATGCCTTTTGCAGGGGGGATTAATGGACGATCCTAGGCAACAAGAAGATGAAAAGTGAAAATTGAGGGAGGAAAGGCACACGAAGTCAACAACAATGGCGGGAATGACCGTCGAGGGTCACAGGCACCCGGATTCCCTGACGGAATGAATGGATTGGATGCGATCGATGCTCGGGATTGGCGGTGGACCCCTGCCTGTTCTCCCGTTACCGCTGTTACCGCTATTTGGTGCGGGGATTCGCAATGTGGCTGCCTGCGATTACTGTATTGTATGGTTACGCCCCGCCGGCACCGCCACACTCTCCGCGTATTGTGCACCGCCACATTAAAATGACGTATAATCACGGAACTGAGGAGGAATAGATGATCCGTTGCTATACTCATTACATAAGCCGTGCATTATCGCAGTGATGGAGGGTCCGTGCGCTATCGCAGAAAAAAGTAACGGAAATCAATTGGAACCAGAAACTGCGACTTTGGTGGGGTTATTGGCTCAGGTCGCTTGAATTGACCTCTTCTTCTTTGCATAGAATGCGCTGATCTTTATTCCATTACATATCACTTGAAGCATCCCCGGCATCATGCATTCCTACGTGCGACCCAATCAATTCATCGCCTTCAAGCTCCCCTCCGAGGCGACGAGGATCCAGAAGGTCGTCCCCAATACGTATGCGCGCGACTTGCCAGCCCCTAACAATTGCACGAGCTAACTACGTTGGGCAGTCAAATCTCTCTAGGAAAATACGGTGCTTTCCCCGCTAACCAAATCATTGGCCGTCCTTTCTACCTTACCTTCGAGATCCACGAGACCCCGGGACAAGCTGATAGCACCTACCTTCGCATCGTATCGGCGGCAGAGCTTCACGCGGAATCCCTCATTACCGAGGGCGAAGGCGACGGCGATGATGTAGAGGTCAATGAAGATGGCACGCCGGTGCGGTCGAACCGCGAAACCATCGACGACCGGTCAACGCAAAAACTAACACTAGAGGAGATTCTGGCGCTGAAGAAGGAAAGTACCGGAGCGGGCAGGGAAATCATCGCGAAGCTACTCGAGTCGCATCAGGCCTTGGATCAGAAGACGGCATTCTCACTGGCCAAGTATAAGCTACGGAAGGAGAAGAAGTACATGAAGCGGTTCACGGTCATTCCTCTGGATGTCAGTCTCCTGACGAACTACATGCTTGAGGACAAGGATGCAGCGCGGACTATGGAATTGCGCGACGAACTGATCGGCCTCATTGGGTGTTGGGGAAATGTGCATCACGGTGGTAGTACCTCTTTTGACGAGACTGTCACCTCAAAACCGAATGGTCGCTATCTCGTTGTCGATGATACGGGCGGTCTGGTCGTCGCAGCTTTGGCTGAGAGAATGGGAATTTTGTATCCTCACGATGGCGAGAACGACCAGGAACAACAGGATGCTATCGAGCGGCCTGCCGCGGCGGAAGCTGATGAGGCAGAGAAACCCCAAGACGGCGAAGAGAAAGCCCAAGAGGGAGAGGAGCAAACCACGACGACCACCACACATCGCCCACCCCGTCGACCACAGATGTCCGCTTCAGGAAATACCATCACCCTTCTCCACGCCAACAAACAGCCCAACCTAAGTCTTCTGAAATACTTCGGCTACGAACAAGATAGTCCGAGCGACACACATCCCCTCTACACAAACCTCAAGACCGTCTCCTTCATGCAGCTGCTCGACCCTAACGCGGACAACATCTACTCCGAGGAACCGTCGGTAGTACCCGAAGAGGAACTTGCCACATACAAGGCCAGCAAGCGTAGCGCCTACCACCGCAAGCGCGGGCGGTGGATGCGCGTTCGCAGGGTGGTTGACGAAGCTCGTGCCGGCGGCTTTGACGGCCTCATTATCGCTTCCCTCATGAGCCCGACAAGCATCCTGAAATACACTGTGCCATTGGTGGGAGGCTCAGCACCGATCACTATCTACTCGCCTACCATTGAACCGTTGACAGAGGTAATGGACTTGTACTCGACAGCGCGCAAGAACGCCTACATCGCCCGGAAGCGTGAGCTACAAGAACAGCAACAGGCCGACGGCCAGGATGAGTCTGGCAAGATGCACCCCGCACTGGAGGAGGAATACACAGTCGACCCTACCATGCTGCTTGCACCGACGCTGCAAACCTCCCGAGTACGCGTCTGGCAGGTCCTGCCTGGACGGACACATCCGTTGATGTCGGGACGTGGTGGTGCAGAAGGGTACATCTTCCACGGCATCCGGGTCATCCCGACGCAGCAGATTATCGAAGCGGCTGGAAATTCAGGCCGGAAGAGGAGGAAGGTGACCAAGGAGACGGAGACACCGACTGAGACGCAGACGGGCAGCGGGGATGTGGAGATGACGTCGTGACCTATCCTAGATTCAATAACCCTACCTGTAACACAGCCGAAAATTGGCTTCAAAAGTATACCATGTGCACACTACAACATGAGATAATGAATCCAGAAACGATGAGGAAGACATCCATCCGGCAGCTCAACCGAACTGTCTGGTATACTAATTAACCTTTATCATAACATTATAATCTTCTTTCGTAGACATCTATTTTCCCATCAACTCACACCCATTCCTCACCACACCCACCAACCCACCAGTCTGCATCGCCTCCGATCCACCCCCAGCCAACCTCCACTCAATCTCCGCCAACCCTTCCAACCACGTAACCCTCGTCTGCGCGGGCACTTCCAACCTCTGCAACTGATCGCCCAGGGCCGCGAGAATATCCGCCAACGCCAAGCCCTTATTGGCCTTGAGGGTATTAATGGTACTCAAACAGGACGTAACATCACTCGTAGCCAACAACGTCGTCATAATCTCCTCAATATCCGACGGATGAGGCGCAGCAATACAATCATAAATCGTCTCATTCGTAATGACCTCAGCCTCGGGCCTCCCCTTCGCATCCTGATCCTTATCCTGATCCTTGGGCGCATTCTTCATCGGCAACGGTATACTACTGGCAAAACAAGCCTGCAGGACATTCAACGCCCGTCGCATATCACCCTTACTCAGACGAACAAGACTATCCACCGCCTCCGGCTGAATATTCACCTCTTCCTTCTCAATAACAAGGTCCACTAATACACGGATATCCGCCTCTTTCAGTGGACTGAAGCGAAACCGCGTACATCGGGACAAGAGCGCGGGGGAGAGCTTGTGTGTGTAGTTGGCGATGATGCAGAAGCGCGTGTTGGCGGTGTATTTTTCCATGATGCGACGGAGGGCCATTTGCGCGGTGGCCGTCATGGCGTCGGCTTCGTCGAGGATGATGAGTTTGTAGGAGGCGAGGTTGGAGGAGGTGGAGGTGGAGGAGGTGGATGACGGTGCCATGGAGAAGATCTGTTTTGTGCTGGCGAAGGTCTTGATTTGTTCGCGGACGACGTCGATACCGCGGTCGTCACTGGCGTTGAGTTCCAGGACCATTTGGCGCATGTTCTTTGCGCCGTAGATTCGGCGCGCGAGGGCTAGGATGGTGGATGTTTTGCCGGTTCCGGGGGGACCGTAGAGGAGGAGGTGGGGGAGGCGCTGTTAGGGTGTTAGACTTGTGAGATTAGAGATATCATTGAGGGGATGAATTGGGGATGGGGGGTGTACGTTTGCTTCGACGAATTTGTTGATTGTTGCGAGGATGTCTTGGTGGCCGGATACATCTTCTAGGGTGTTGGGACGGTATTTCTCTACCCTATATTGTTCCGTTAGAGAATGGCACTCTGCCTATGTGAAGAGAGGGAATATACCAGGGGAGGTTATCTTGAGCTTCAACGGGCAGATCAGCTGCTACTCGCTTTGCCTTGCCATTTGTGTTGTCGGAGCTGAATTGGATAGCGTTCTTGGATGGGACGTCCACGTCCATTGAATCTTCGTAGTCGGACATGATGTGTATTTCAGAGGAGCGATGCACTCAATGTCCAAATAATAATGCAGAGCTCCAATTATATCAAAAGAAATGGGAGTCTGGTGAAATTGTAGCTATCCGGAAATCACGAGAGACGCGTAGCGCGTAAAGAGGCTCGGGCCGGAAAATCTCCCCGCCCAGGAGAAGGACAGCGGCAGCTCCTGGACTGGCACGGGTGATGACATGCACCTCCGTCCCTCTCCCTATTGTATCTACCTATTTCCCTTCCTTAGACCGGCTCTAAGGACCACCACCACCCATTATATTTCCCTGCAGCTCACAATGCCGGTACTATTCCTTTTCCTCCTCCCCTTCCGATATATACCCCCAGATAAATTGACTAATCCCATACCAGGCATACCACTCCATCTTCCTTGAGGACCGGGATGTCCCCGTAATAGGTACGGCCGCACTCACCTCCCCGCCATACACCCACCTAGCTACCCCCCATACAGCGACAGCTACCTACACCATCCACTCCAACCCACCTCTCCCTCTCATCAACCCAACTAATCACCCATTGATAGGAAACTTCCCCATCCTCCCCCTCCGCACTCGCACCCGCGGCCCCGCATACACCCTCCCCCCGCTCCCGCCCACCGCCGACACCACCGATGTGCCCGCCGACAGCGAATCCTACGACTGCGTCGACGAGATCCTCTCCCTGTTCCGCGCAAATGTCCTGTTCCGTAACTTCGAGATCAATGGGCCGGCCGATCGCATGCTTATCTATGGTACCCTGTTCATCAGTGAATGCTTGGGGAAGGTGAAGCCCGGTATGGTGATGCGCGAGGCTGAGAAGGTATGCTTTGCTTGCCCTGGTTGTGCGGGGTTGTAGCGGATTGGTGATGGTGATAAATGATGTGATTGTGAAGTGCTAATGGGTATCATTTGCAGGCGTTGATCAACGTTGCGCTCGACCACTTCGCTATTCCCGGTGACGTGTCCTTCCCTCTGAACCAGGCATTTGAGGCGCCCCGCGATCGCCAGGATGCGGAGACATTGAGACAGTATGTTAAATATCAAGCAGTCCATTTCGACCGGAGCTGGTGTGTTGGATGGTGCTGACTGGATTGCAATAGGTACCTCTCGCAAGTTAGGCAGGAAATTGCGATGCGGTTGCATGCGCGGTTATACCCCGGTGGTGTTGGGCCTTCCAAGGTATATCTCCATACCCTGCCAACATGGAGGGATCTAGGCTAACAAGGATATAGTGGTGGCTGAGCTTCGCCAAGAGAAAGTTCATGGGAAAGAGCTTCTAAGGCGAATGACTGATAGATGGATGTGCTTTTGTTTTTGCTGCCAAACTCAGCGTATGAACAAACTCTCAACTGGACTTTTAGCTGTTGTCCATGTCTAGTCATTTTTACTCTGTGTATATTTGAATCTGAAGCGTTTTGATCCGACTCCGAGTGCTTGGTTGGTGTCATCAGCTATGACTGCTCGAAACGTTAGAGAGAAGCAGATATAGAGTTCTGCTGCTGGCAAGGGATCCACAAGGCCCCTGTTCGACCAGAGTCAGTTGATCCATCATCATGATATCTAGGGTCCTGTTCGACCGGAGCCAAATGTCCTAGAACTGGCTTCCGTATTCTGACCCCGGTCGAACAACATCCCTCCCGTTCTCTTACAGACGACCCTCCCAAACCCCATCACTACACAACCACACACCACTTGCCCCCCAAAACACCAGCACCAGCACCATCAACCAACAACACCCCTATTCAACCCCCTCTAACCCCAATACAACAAGCCGTTACATAACAACTACCACACCCTCCACCTCAAACCCAACCCAAATGTGATCCTCAACCTCTACTATACTCCTCTTGCACCGCTCTGCTTTACAGTCCACATGGACATACTATAACTCCATACCTCGCAGCTCATTTCTGACAAGAGTTTCGGCACAGGTCCTATCCACTAGACACTGCATAGTCCAACCAGATAGATGACGAGGTGCTCAGATCCTCCGGCTTCTTCGATATCAAATCTTACCAAGCATTTCAGCCGCCACTCAGGCCTTTACATGACGCATGAGTCAGGATCAGGCAAAAGCGGCATGATGAGTCGGGGTAGAAGGGGCGGAAGAGGGTCTTTTGTATATATTAGATAGTTCTGAGCGGGAATTACTAGTCTAAGTTATATATTTGTTAGATGGATACTATTCCCTTACTATATATACATTATGCGTGGGATGAACTATCCAGATGCCAGGTGACAATGGCGAATAGATTTGTAAATGATTATGATGTGTAAGACTTGGAGATTAGTGTGAGTAAATGCATGGATGAGGCTCTGAAACTAGGTAAATAGTACTGATGGGGCTGACAACTGGTCATGTATCTACCTATTATCAGGTGAATGGGGTAGCTAGCCTGTTTCAATAATTTGCCCACTGTAAGCCCCAATTAGCGATGTAGAATATAACATATGAAAATTTTGGCATGATCTAAACCACCAGTGGGGTCGCAGCGCTAGTAACCATAAATTTATGGTGAGCAGCTTCATTAAGACATGCATCCGTCACAAATGTAGGCGTCTAAATAGCACGACCAGCAATGCAGACAACGAACTATGCAGCTTCATTATCACCGCCCTTCTCAAACAACTCCTCAATACTCTCCAAGCTCTTCCCCTTCGTCTCCGGCATCAGCACACACACCGCCACCGCCACAAGCGTCGAGAACCCATACAAGAAATACGGACCTGACGGAGACCGATGCAGAAACAAAGGGGCAGTAAGTGTGACGATAAAGTTAACAATCCAATTAGCAAGCAGTTCTACCGCACATACCTTTGCCCGGAGTCGAGTGGGAATAATCTCTGAGGCGTAGATCTTGCCAACCTAAAGAGAACCACATCAGTAAATCAATCTGTGCAGCTCGAAGAACAGTACTCACCACCGCCCACGACCAGGAAAAGTTTGCCACAAAGATAAATATCAGCACCACCACGGCCCATTGAGCAGAGTGAGATTCGAGGGTGACGGCATCGTGGGTTGTGTGACCGTAACGGGCGTACAGTGCTCCAATAATGATGAAACAGATGGACATTGCTGATCCCCCAGTGATCAACGGCTTGCGACGTCCCCATCGGTCTACCCAGATCTGGGCGGGGATGGTAAAGACCAACATCACAATGCCGATGATGCCGGATGACAGGAAGGACGCCTTAGTGGATGTAAAACCCGCTTGTTGAAAAAGGATAGGTGCATAGTATAGGACAACGTCGATCTGTAGTGATTTAGTCCAGCGTCCAGGAGGCCCGGTCGAGAACCATGAGCGCATTGGGAGGGAAGTGGGACGAAGCTGAACTTACCCCTGTCAATTGCTGAAAAGTCATCAGAAACACTCCAAGGGATGTACGACCAATGTACTTCCGACCAAAGATCTCCGCCATACTAGCGGTCGGTCGCCGCTGGTCAGACTGCAGACTGTCCTGAATCTCCCGTAGCTCCTCGTCCACCGTAGATGCAGGGCGCAGTTTACGCAAAACGTGACGTGCATCTTCGTTGCGGCCGACCTGCGCCAGCCACCGAGGCGAGAATGGCAGCATAAGCATCACGACCGACAGCACCGCAGCCATGATGGCCTGGATAATGAACGGCACCCTCCATGACATGCTACCATTGAGATACTGTGTCCCATAGGTGATAAAGTACCCCGCCATAATGCCAAAAACCACGTAGAGCTGAAGTGAGCAAGCCACCACGCCCCGCACATCTGCAGGGGCTATCTCCACCAGGTACACGGTGGTGACGGAAATGGCTTGGCCCATGCCGACCCCGGTAATCAGCCGGGCGACGATCAGGCTAGCGAAATTAGGCGAGCAGGCGGATATTATGGTCCCTGCCAGTGAGAGCAGGCTGCCGATGAGAATTCCGTACTTTCTCGAGATGCGGTCCGAGACATGGCCACTCGTCAGAGAGGATGCGGATGACGAAAGGAGGATACAAGCGACGTAGACACCCTGCTGCGTAGACGATAATCGGCCAATAGAGGATTCAAATTGGGGCATTTGCGTGATCGGACCAATCGAACCTGAAAGTGTGAGTTTCGGGGCCATGGGGTGAGGGAAGTGAACAGACCTGTGTCCAGGCCATACAAGAGTCCGGCCAGGGCGACATGGCCAGCAATGAGGAAAACCTTCCCCTTGGGCGAACCCATCGGATGAGACTGGTGCGGTTGAAAGAGAGCGAGACGGAAATAGATGTTTTGACTGAGGAAGAAGACGATTTGAAGCGACCTCCTTTTTGCATGGGCTTCATTCACCCCCTCTCTAAGGTAGCATCGCCTAAGTTGCTCTTAGACAACAGAATGGTCGCCGGCGTCGGAGTTGCGAGGACAGTCATTTGCGGTCTGGACTAATACCCCTGTAATTGAGACTGACTCTGATAGGATAGTGCAGCAATATATGCATGTTGTGCGCAGCATGATCGACTCCGAGCGGTCAGATCAGTGCCCCAGCGAGGTGGGATCACCGTTGGATTTAGATTGCAGCTTCAGCCCGAGACACCAAAGGCGGGGAGGTAGTGCAGCCCAGCCACCAATCATCCCTAGGAATGACTCGAATTGAATCTAAGTCGAGGTTACATTCACTCGCATGCTGTCTCTAGCGCTTATGCCGATCACTGCTCGCCATATGGGCCAACCCTGTACACAGTCACACCTATCGCTGGGCACCGAGCCGGTCTCGCGAGTCTTCAGGGCCAGTCTCCTTGCGTACATGCGATTTTAAATGCAATTGTCCCACGCGGAATAAGCGGGTGCAACCCACGAGCCTCGTAATCCAGGAAGATGCGTACCCGTTCTGGTAACACGCATCTGACTGACTAGAACTATACCTTCAACAGCAGGTCTTACTCATCTCGGTCAGTAAAGACCACCAAACGCAGGGGTTTATCGACTAATTGCATCGGGATCAGCGCCTCATGTAGGAACGCGAGGAAGACATTGGCGCACCGGGTAGTCCACGATGTAACTAGCGGCGACCAGGGTACGCAACCCGAATATGCAATGTTGCATTGTCGCAATAAAGCGCCCTGAAAGGGAAACAGTTTTATAGGTCATCCGCACACGCGAGCTGAGGCCCAGACATAATATTTACCTCGTATAGACAAGTGTACTGACCGGGATTTGACGCAACACTTGCCGTCGGCTAATTTTTCGCTGACGAAAACCACAGCTAGATGGTCTCGCCAGTGAAGGACCAAGGGGATTCCAGTGTTGACGACGGCGAAAATCGTAATGCCAGTGAATGCATGAGGATCGCCGAGCTGGAATCCCCAAGTATTTAAGGGCCTTGGTTCCTTCACTACCGAGCAGTTTGTAGGAACACTTAAAGCAGAGAGAAAAGAGCCTCTGAACGGATTATAGCCATGGATATCAAAAAGTGCGGTCTGGGTGCGAATGGTATGTTTGTCTTTCACTGAAAGTCTTATCATCTAGTTGACGTACCATTCCAGTCCCAACCTTCTATGACCCATCTGACATCGAGTCCATCCGTGCCTCTGTCTTCAATAATGGTATAGCATTTGTGGAGGGGTGTGAGGAAGAGGCCTTAGTAGGTCTTGCTCACCAACTGGGACAAGTCGTGAGACCGCGGAATGAGGAAACACCCGGCAGTGGTGTAAGTCGAATTCGATTTGCATCAGATTTGGTGGGAAAGGGATACAGCTCTGAAGGTTCGTCCTTAAAACGACAATAGTTTAGCAGGTCGTAGACTGACGTACTGATCACAGAGCTATTCTTCCATACCGATCGCAGCGGATGGGACGAGCCCCCGCGCATTTTGATGTCAACTCTCCGTTCTCAGTCAGAGTCCGGGGGCGAGTCATTGCTGGTTGACGGCCAGAATGTCCTCAACGCTCTTAGGCAACATGATGAGGATCTGTACAACCTATTCACTAGTTCAAAGCACACCAGCTTCCGTGCCGATGATGGAACGTTCGTGCCACGGGCCATGGTCGACAAAGAGACTGGAATCTTTCGCTTCCGGTTCGATGACGGCATCCAGATGTCGGCATCTATGGTTGTTGGCTTCACCAAGCTGCAGGATATCATCTATCAACATGCCTATTTCGTGTCCCTGCGACCCGGTCAGGGTTATGTGCTAGATAACCACCGGTACCTGCATGGGCGAGCCTCCTTCACTGGTTCACGGGAGTTGTTACGAGTCCTTGTCAGGCCCTCCTCTCCACCTAGCGAGAAGGTAATCTTGTTTGACATTGACGGCACACTCTGTCGGTCAGAGGCTCTCAGCATTGACGCATATTATTCCTGTGTGAGCGACATTGTCGGAAAGGACATCAATCATGCAAACACCCCGGTCAACTTGCACGGACGAACTGATCTCGGCCTGCTGCACGACATTTTGGATTATCACCAAGTATCCCTGAAGGATCAGGTGGTGGAGGAATTCCTCAAACTCCACCCACAGTATCTGGAGCGTTCTTTGTCCAAGGGTCTTCCATCGGTGATATGCCCCGGCGCACAGGAAATGCTCAGCTGGCTGATTAGGGAGAATGAGAACTCCGGCCAACCGAAGTTCCAGTTGGGTCTCATTACGGGCAATTCTCGTCCCAACGCGTTGCTAAAACTCCGCGGGGCGGGAGTTGACACCAGCATATTCGACCTTGACATCTCGTCATTCGGGGACAGCCACCATAATCGACTATCATTGTTTCAAGATTCCCTCTCAAAATTGAAGGTCCGCTTTGGCTCTCATATACGCGCAAAAGACGTTCTAGTCGTTGGAGACACACCCCTTGACGTGGAATGTGCGAAGCAAGCTGGTTGCTCAGTCGTGGCTGTTGCGACAGGGAACTATAAGATGGAGGAGCTGGCTTCGCTGAAGCCTAATTTCTGCTGCAGTCAGCTGACTGAAACGAAGGAATACCTTCTGCAGGCGGCCTTTTAGGTGCTACTGCCAGTGTCAATAATTTCCTTTCACACGCACATTATGAAAAGGCCACAGACTTTGTATCGCAGGTCATTAGAAAAGAATATTGGAGTGCAAGGTAGAAAGAAGCCTCATTCGCCCCAATATAAATATGTATAGGCTGTAAATTCTCCATATCGGTCGGAAGTAGTAATAATTATTGGTTCATATTGTTTTCGGGTGGCCTTCGAATGGTGCTTCCACCTAATTGCGCTCTGATTCCAATGTCGAGCCAATTATTCCCTGGATTTCTCCGGCCGCAGTACCAGCCAGAACGCCCACCCCAACTATTCCACCATCGCTGGCCTCTCGAAGGAAGACACTCTTCCCTTCACCCTGTGGTCCAGCACTGAGAATCAATCGGTCGATATGTCGCTGAATTCGGTCCTTGTAGTGAGGGTAGTGCTGGATCACACCACCAGACACGGCCACAACCAGCTCCTCTGGCCCTTTTTGCCAACCGGGTATCACTGCTTTGGAATCTGACACTGTATCATTCTGAGGGCTTATCGATTTGCCTGGTTTTGGATTTTCATCATCCGTTTCTAAGTGTGCTGTGCTCTTCAAATTTACCTCGCCAGTGCATGCCAAAAGACCAACCGTCGCTGCAGCAACCAAGGCAGATGATCTCTCTTGAACTGCCGCAGCGATTATTCGAATATGTCCAGCGAAGTCGGGGGTCCACATCCAGTCACTCGAGGATGGTGACGGGAGGTGGTTTGACAGTGCCACGGCCAGATGTTCGTTTGAGGAGTTCGAAGCCACCACAAGCGACAGAAATTCTGTAGATAGCGAGTTCCTTTCAACCAATTTCTCTGGCAATGAAGACTTTGGAATCTTCTTGACTCCGTGAAACCAATCATAAGAAATTATGCGGACGAGCTCGCCAATGTAACGGCCACCAACCATATACTCTAGTGGCTGAAAGCCGGGACGGTTGGAATGTTCTTCCAGTTCAGCATCCCACTTGGTTACGATACCGAGCTTCTCCAAAGGCCCAGTTGCTCCGTGGAGGGTCCATTCAGTCGAGACGACGGTTTCATCCGCTTCTGGCTGCTTTCCTCGGATATGGGCCACTTTCGATTCCTGTAGGTCAGCAAGTTTCATGGGAATAGCGGAGTTACAGCCGGCGCCGACGATGAGCCCCATGACAACTCGAGTATTGGGAAGGGCCCTTATCGAGTATGCCAGAGAAGCTAATGTAGCGACCGTATCATTGGTCATGACCGTGACCTTCAGCTTCGGTAGACAGTAAGTCTTGCGACGCTTAGTGGGCATGTCACCTGAGTCCTGATCAGACCGCCGGGTGTGACATTCATATCCATCCAGCAAGGCTTGGTGGAGATTCAGCGAAGAGCTCAAGGCGAACCCCTTGCCTGTGGGCATAAGAATGGCCTCATTGAGGAACTTTTGCCTGCGATCAGTTAACCCCACACTAGACACGTTAAATAGGCAAGATACGAACTTGGTAGGAAAACAGAAAGAAATTCCCATGATGAGCTCCTTTGGCGCATCGCCTTTAGAGTTGGCGAGATCGTCCGCAATGACTTCGGCAATGCAGTCACCAATCCAGGCGAATAGGGACTGGGCTTGGTCACGTCGGAGCCGCTCTTCGATGGGCCACGCCTTCTCCAGGGTTCGTCTTACATGAGGTTGCCTTCCGACTGGCTGATGTCCCAGCAGTTCAATGAAGGCGACTCGGAGATAGGAGAGGCCGAGATAGACAGCCAGGTAGCGACCGGTTTCATGGCCGGTGGGCAGCCGGGTGATGGCGGTGGGGAAGAACTGCTCGGATGAGCTGGCTGCCAGCTCCCGATATGTGTGTGACAGACGATGGGAGAGGTCATAGAGTGTGTCATGATCTATACGGAGGGGATGCAGAAACTCTTGGAGATCAGGATCCAACTTTCCCATCTTGGCGGATGGTTCCTTGCCCTGGGGAGGTTGCAAGGGTAATCAACTCACTATCTAGTATTAGTAGTTATTAATGGATGGAAGGAACCCAAGGCGGGCGGCGGGGACGAGCCGCTGGTGCGTGGCTTTTGTTTCATTCCCTGTGGCTCTTTGCCGCGATGGTTCCACGGGTCTTCATGCAAGGGGCAACCCTTGTATAAACGAAGGAAATTAATACTGCGCAGATACTCTATGCTTTGATATACTCAACATAAGTGACAAGGTGGATATATTCTTAGGGTTTGGAGAGTGCCTACTCGACACTTTATTTTTATAAATTTCTCCCGATCCTGCGATGCGCGACAGATCGCATATCTTATCAATCATGACATTATTCTATACTACGGTGAGACTCGCAGATGATTTGCATCAATTTATCTACCAGGGACTAAATTTGGGGAACTTTGTGTAATAGTAGGATTGACTCTGAGCGAGGTGGTCTCTATGATAGTATCTGGAACGTTGTATGCGTGGGTACTCTATCTTGATCTGATTTATAGAGATGCAGTTGAAGGCTTCAGCGACTACTAGTTAATAAGAACAATATTATGTCAGATGATATTTTTATCGTTAATTAGGTTAGTACGGTCTCATATGAGTAATATGCGGAATGGATGGAAGCCTGAAGGTTTGATCCAGGCCGTTTAAGTCCGAGTAAGCACCGGTGCCCCTCAGACCGGTGAATCTGACAGGAAGCACTTTCTTTTCGTGTTCATGAGGGAGAAGAAAGTTTCGACGTCGAAATCATAGAACATTTGCGAAATTATTGCATCGAAGGGCCATTCATTTAAAGTTATAGCAACTATCTACCATCTACTCCCCAGCCTTCACAAGATGACACACAACAAAGCGGCCTGGATTACAGCTCCTACTGAGCATCCGTTCACTATCCAGGACGCCCCATATCCCACACCAGGACCCGGAGAGATCGTGATAAAGAATTCTGCTATTTCTATTGTGCGATCAATCCCCTAATTTCATTGATCTCGGCTAATCTTCTGTTCTCGTAGAATCCCGCTGATTGGAAAATTCAGTACGAATACATGTTACAACTATCATGCAGCGTGAAAACAAAATTCTAACCATATCTACAGAATATATGGCGCACCTTGGCTGAAAAACTGGCCATTTGTTCTGGGCACAGATGTCGCTGGAGTGGTGGTTGATGTAGGCCCTGATGTGGTCCGCTTCACTAGAGGCCAGCGCGTTGTTGCGTAAGTACCACAGTCGCTTCTTCAAAAAGGTACGATAGACAAGCACGGAGACCTGCTAATAACTGTGCATAGATATTGCCACTGTCTGGGTACCGGCAATCCCGCCAACTCGGGATTCCAGCTGTACACACTGGTGAAGGAAACAACTGTAGCAGCAATCCCAGACTCAATTAGCTTTGAAGAAGCATCTGTCCTACCGCAGGCTATCTCAACTGCTGCGGCAGGTCTATTCCTCAAAGAAAGCCTCGATCTGCCCATACCCCCTCCTACCGGTGTGAAGCCGACAGGCAAATCGATTCTCATCTGGGGTGGCGCGTCTTCAGTTGGTGCAACAACAATCCAACTCGCAGTAGCAGCAGGTCTAACAGTGATCACAACTGCATCGGCTCATAACCATGAATTGGTAAAGTCTCTAGGTGCAACTGCTGTTTTTGACTACAAGTCCCCTACTGTCGTTGACGATGTTGTCAATGCGCTCACTAATACTGAGTTCATTGGTGTCTACGATGCTGTTTCTGAACCTGCGAGTCTTGAACTGGTGCGTGTGGTCCTGGACAAATTGAAAGCAGATGTTAGGACTATTTGTGTTATACCTTATGATAAACCTACGGAACGGTTTGCGCCTATATTCAGTAAGGCTCCTTGTGACTCCTTCCACTCACTTAACTCCCCCTACATTTGACTAACGACCTTTCCCATTTAGTCAGTTCAAACTTTCTGACTTTTGACTCAAACAAACATGTTGCAGAGGGTATCTGGAGAGACTTTGTCTTCAAAGCCCTAGAAACTGGACGCCTTCAACCGAAGCCGGACCCTGAGGTGGTTGGGAAAGGGCTGGAAAAGGTCCAGGAAGCTGTTGACACCCTCAAGAGGGGCGTATCGGCTAAGAAGATTGTTGTCACTCTGTGATCGTCAAGATGTGATCAAGATTCTAGGAAGACCTTTTGCATTATACAATATATACGTATTATTGACAAGACGAGGAGTATTTTAGGGTCTACCCAGGAATGGATGAGCCAGGAGCACCTTGTCCCCGCTCCTCCGAATAGTTGTCGAAGAAATTCTGAATCATCAGTCCACCCGCCGCATCCAGAAATTCGGCGTTAAATGACCCAGGAGCATATCCAGACATGTTATCATCCAGCCCTAATGTATTAGGTTTGAACGTTTGTTGGTCGTTCGTAGGGAACCAGAGGGCCCGGAAAGACCCCGGTAGCTGGCTGGAAGCATAGGGAGCCATGTCGCTGGGAACGGCAATTCCATGACCGTGCTCTACCGAATGTCAGCCACGTTCACCGGTGTGCAAGGACTTAATCTTCTTGAGGAATGTAGAAAGTGGTGGGGTCATACCAAGTATATTTTGGAGCACGTCTCTAGCTCGCAGGGCCATATCATGGGAAGAACCCAGGCTCCCTAAACAGTTCACCGCACGTTGTATTTGACATTTCCATGTCGGTGCCAAGCTATGTGCTGGCTCGTAGATATAGGACGTCGCTTGGACAAAGCTGGCCGTTAGCAGCCAGCAGGTCGCATACCAGGTCAGGCCGCGGCGGCGGTTGCTCGTTGACTCAAGAAAGCTGCAGATAGAAGCGACACACTCGTCTGCCGCGGTGAGACAGGCAGCGACTGGACCTGTGGAGGTGGCCAACTCGGATTTAGCTGCAATGCTTTGGAATAGAAAGGGGCGGTTGATAACAATGCGCAAGTGGAACGAGCGCCATAGAAGCACTCGACGCGGGATGTCGAAACGCGGTTCTAGAGGAACGCTGAGCCCAAAATGGGGCGGTAATTCATGGTACCAGGTGTGTATACGCTGCTCTAAATCCGCAGCTTTTTGTTGAGTAGGTAAATGGTGCGTCAATAGCTCTACCTGAACGACATTGGCGATTTTCGCGAGATTCACTTGCGCTATGAGGCAAGAAGTGATAGTTGGGCCGGTGCCACATTCAGGAAGTTCATCCATGTCTACTGCTAGATCGTGGTCATCAACATTGGCTGGTAGATGAACATTCACCCCAACAAGCGAGACGGCTGGTCGGCCCAGGGTCAGCTGGACGCCTGAGACGAATATAAAGAGTGTCCACCAGACGCGTCGACGGATCTCCATCGTGAAAGGGGAAGTACTAGGCATGCCAAATTCCCGGTGCAAGCCAATAGCCAGTGCCATACTCCAGCCTATACCGATCACAATAAAAGCAGCATTCGGCTTGTTGCGTTTCTGCATGTAGTTCGCCATGAGGACTATGGCTTGCACATAACTGAGAGATCCTTTCTCAAGGACATCCATGGACAAATGCTTGCGTGCTTCTTTGAAAAATGGTATATCCACTTTGGTGCCTTGCGAATCTCCGACGAAAGCACCAATGGCGAGTACGATATTGTACAAGATGGGCCAAGAACCATCGCGTGGCTTTGCTAGGGCACCTGCTCGTGGTTAGACATTCGCTTATTGATTGTTGTGACGAAGAGCTACCTGAGACCCTAGCACGAAAGGTTCCCTCATGCAAGATGGGATACGCGGGATGATAGATAGCAAAATAGTCATCAAGATAGCGGAGTACATCTGCTCGTCTCTGCTGTGCAGTGCAGTTGGTGCCACCATCCATGTCGTCATCAAGACAAGACAACGGGCTGAAGCTAGTAAGTGGTAAATATAGTGGAAGTGACTGGAGGAATTTGAGGGCCGCTATGCCAGACTGTGGCCCTGTATAGCCGGCCTTGTGCGGGTCGACCGTCAAAAAGCCCATGCCGTCGGTAGAGTTGTCAAAGTCCTGGGACTCGTCGAACTCGTAGTCTTCGGCGTTGCTGGGTTCTGCAAAACTAGCAGGAGGCTGCTCCGTTGCATGAGTAACCTCACTGAGGTGCTTCTGTCTCTGTGGGCCTTGCTGGATAGCGGTGATAGAGTCGTGTTGAGAGCGAACGGTTTGAAGTGCATCCTGGAGATCAACTGATGGAAGATAGATGGCCCATGCCCGTTCCATGTCAGCCCTCAAGCGCTCTAACTCATGAAGACGTCTATATAAATTAGCATTGATGAAGTAACCAATTTTGAAGCTAGTTGATAGGACAACCTTTGCAGAGTAGAAAGACGTTGGGATGGTGAGGAGTAACGACATGATTTGGCATCCCGACGACAGTTGTTGCAATTTTCGTTGCCAGAGCAGCGTATCTTGCGTCGCTTGCATTCATCACAAGCAAAGGTCTTCCGAAGAATGCGTCGAGACTGAGAGATGTCCATTTCCACGGGTGTAGTTCAAGGGAAGAATGAAGAAGTCGATTGTGGCGAACGGAGATTTCCCCGGGCGACGCCAAGACGGCTCCCCGCAGAGTCCGGGGATACCGACATCTACCTCGACAACGTTGTTCAATGCGGATTCGATATGAGTCCTGATTGTGAAGTACACGTATTGTCTATGAGGCATTAAGTTCAAGATTGGCAGTCTATACGACATGTAGAGGAAACTACGTGGCAAAAGGCAACGGTTTACCGATCCGGCATCCACTCATCGGCACCCGGAAATAGCCCCGATGCACGACGGCGATAGATCCGTTGCTCTCTGCACGGCTCGGACCCAATGACATATTGCAGATTTCGGACGATCATGCAGGCCATTTAAACAATGAAACCGCTGGCAAGACCCGGCTGTATTAGTTGTCAGTACTCGATTCACACACAATCTGAAGAAACCCATCATGTCTCTCGAAGGAAAAGTTGCGATTGTCACTGGCGGAGCGCGCGGAATCGGCGCCGGCATCGTCCGCAGTTTGAGTGAGCAGGGTGCAAAGGTAATCAGCAGCAAATTATACCTATGTGCAAAACATTAATGAATTTAACATAATCGATGTAGGTGGCATTCAACTACGTCTCCCCATCTTCGCACGAAGCCGCAAATGCGCTTATCGAATCGCTCCGGCAAGACAACCATGAAGCCGTTGCAGTTCAAGCCGACATCACCGACCCAAAGGCCCCGAAGATGATCATACAAGCAGCTCTTGATGCTTTCCAGACAGGCCGAATTGATATCCTTGTGAACAACGCTGGCGCGGGTGACAACCGGCCGCTGGAAGAAGTGACCATGGAAAGCTACATGCACCTGATGGACGTCAACGTGCGAGCGGTAGTCTTCATGACACAGGCTATACTTCCATACATACCCCGCGGCGGTCGAATTATCAATTTGTCGTCTATCTCTTCTAGGGGCGGTTATGCCACCCAGTCCGTGTATGCAGCTAGTAAAGCAGCAGTGGAGGGTCTCACACGGGTGTGGGCAACAGAACTTGGTCATAAATACGGAGTAACCGTGAACGCGGTCAATCCCGGCCCTGTTGATACAGATATGTATCAGGCAGCTGGAGAAGTGCATCTGAAGCGGATGGAGGAGCAGAACAAGAAGGTCCCGGCTGGGCAGCGATGTGGAACCGTGCAAGATATCGGGGACATTGTGTCATTCTTGGCTGAAGAGAGGTCCCGATGGGTGACAGGAGATGTGATATGCGCTAATGGTGGGATGTTGTATATTTAAACAGAGGCTTATTTACTCAGACAGAGGATAAATAGACTTGGCAATTTATTTATGGTTTCTGACCGATCTTTTGCCCTAGAGCTACAGGTTAACATCTTCGAGCTCGATACTACGCTTCAGATGTGGTTCTTTAAAACAAAATCAATCCGGCATTACGGCAGCAAGGTCGCCACAACCCCAGCATAATCCCGAAAGTCATCGCTTGGAGTATGTATTCACTGTTCTCCATGGGGAGGCCAAGTCTGTGACGAAGCCTAGTGGATTCTATCGGGAGAACCCCCGTCGTTTATCACGGCGATAGCTCCGCGAGCCGAGTCCCACAGTCAGGGCTCGTCCCGGTCATCGGCCCCAAATATGAGCTCGTGGAAAATTTCACAGCTGCAGAGAACCATATTTATCCGAATGAGGCCACAACTTGATGTGTAGATGTGGTAACAACATTGGTTACCTCTAATCAACTCATTTTCCCAGAGCCCGAATTAGCAAGCATTTGGTCTTCGTGCTGCCGGTACTAGATAGTAGTCATCTGTAGATAGGTCCGCGGACCCGTACCACCAGGAATTGACTGCTACTCAAACCTTTAAACTCAATTATGGCTATATCACGGTGGCTTGCCTCTCGGACAACATTGGACCGGGGCTAGGCAAGAAACCGGGGGTACCCATCAGAACCCATTGGCATGAATGCCGAATTGACAGCCAATGCGGGGGCTATCTCTGGGGTTCTGGGGTAATATAAAACGCCTTTCCTTCTTCGTATGTGGTGCTGTTCTTTCGTTTCCTCCTCCACATGCTCTATTAAGGGGTTCTTCTTCTCAGTTCCTTCACAGTTTGTCTCCCTTTAGTCACACCGTATTCCTATTTTCATGAGTTTTACCCTTCACAGACATGTCGGCTCCCTCAACTGGTTGCCACCGAAAGGGTGCCTCTCAGCAGCCTGCGTGTGACGAGATCGAATCCGCATCACGCCCAAAGATCCTCACCGAAGCCGATTGCTACTCAGAACTTGGATTTTCGTTCCCATCCTCTAAGAAATGGACGATAATCATTGTCATATTCCTCGTGCAGACATCCATGAACTTCAATACCAGTCTTTACTCTAATGCCATATCCGGAATCTCCGAAGAATTCAACGTGAGCAAGCAGGCGGCTCGTTGCGGTGCAATGATCTTTCTCATCTTATATGCCTTCGGGTGTGAGCTCTGGGCACCCTGGAGTGAAGAGATGGGCCGGAAACCTATCCTTCAACTGAGCCTTTTCCTGGTCAACATATGGCAAATCCCCGTCGGTATTGCTCCCAACTTTGCTACCATCATGGTTGGTCGGGCTCTTGGTGGGATCTGTACAGCCGGTGGCTCCGTGACTTTGGGAATGATAGCAGACCTATGGGAGCCAGATGACCAGCAGTATGCAGTGGCATGTGTGGTGTTTTCGTCCGTTGGTGGATCCGTCCTTGGCCCTGTTGTTGGGGGTTTCGTGGAAGCATACCTCCCGTGGCGATGGAACATTTGGATCCAGCTTATCTTCGGTGGCTTCGTCCAGCTGGCTCATTTGATCCTCGTTCCGGAAACAAGAACATCGGTCATGATTGACCGGATTGCCAAGCGGCGGCGAGAAAAGGGGGAGAATGTGTACGGCCCGACTGAATTGATACCTCTCAAGGACCGCTTTTCAGGGTCGGAAATTGTCGGGACCTGGCTTCGACCGTTCCACATGCTGCTCACCGAGCCCATCGTGCTGTGTCTCTCCCTGCTAAGTGGCTTTACTGACGCTCTGATCTTTATATTCATTCAATCCTTCGGACTCGTGTACGCACAATGGAACTTCAGTACCGTTGCTGTTGGTCTCTCCTTTCTTCCCATCATGATAGGCTACGTTATCACCTGGATCATGGTCATCCCAGTGATCAAACGCAACATTCACGAACGTCGCAGCAAGCCCAACGACGAGAGGGCCCAATACGAATCTCGACTCTGGTGGCTTCTTTACACTGCCCCGTGTCTTCCCATTGGACTTATTGGCTTTGCATGGACAAGTCTTCCGCAGACACATTGGATTGGCAGCATGTTCTTTTCAGCTTTGGTCGGAATCGCCAACTTTAGCATTTTCATGGCCACCATCGACTACATGATTTGTGCTTATGGCCCCTACTCTGCGTCTGCTACGGGGGGTAATGGGTGGGCTAGAGATTTTTTGGCTGGTGTGTTGACTGTACCTGCGACGCCCTTTTATGAGAGTATGGCAATCCTCAATCTATATCTGTTTGCCTATGTATAGTGTGCTGACAAATCCTTTAGATATTGGTGGAGACTATCATTTGGAATATGCGTCGACAATCCTATGTAAGTAACATTTGGTCCTGCTGCAGCAAATAACTAATCCAAACTATAGTCTGCATATCCATATTCCTTGTCGCGACGGTATATGTCGTCTACTTCTACGGACCTACCCTTCGCAAACGATCACCGTTCGCCCAGAAGCTATTGCACGCTAGGACAGACATACACGCAACAATGGAACACAGAAAGTAGTGCTAGGATTACGCTAGTGTTGGCCAATGGTGTTATGTGAATATGTCGTGAGACAGGATACCTGTAGGCCTTGCGATAGGTGATACGCTATTTCCGAATTGGAGTTCGTGCATGCTAGCTAGGAAATTTAGCAATGCGCCTGGTCATAGGATTTGTCCAGTATTATCAAGTCAAGTTACCATCTCTCGTCTACTCTGGTCATTATAACTGATGCAGTGAAACATGATTGAATCATGTACGGGGATTGAAGTGACGTAGCGGAGGGATGTCTGTAAGGGGTATAGAGAATCGGTCCACCGAGTAGGCTTGGTGCCCGTCAAAGAAAGTCATTACTCGCAATCTATGTCTCATTTTACCTGAATGAGAAAAAGTGGAATATTACTAATGATATAAAGAATAGCTCAGGAAGAAGACATTCCAGATGTAAAATATATATCGTCGGCGCGCTAAAGTCTAGACCAAAAAGGATATATTGCATCTAGTCAACCGGGCGACAGGGTGATATGTGTTTCAATATACTAGTATATCCCATTCGAGTTTCCGCTATTCCCAGTGGTTTTTCAATGGGGTACTTGCTGCCTTGTCACTCCACGAACAGAGTCAAAAAGAATCTTAAAAATGCCTTTTCTCAAGCCCTCGCTCTCATCCAAGTTGCATATACTAGCTTCCAGCCCGCCAAGGACACGGTCTTCCCTTGATCTGTATTCCTCCCTGAGAGGCAGAAGTTCGAAGATCCGCTGGCATTTCATAGCCGAATCTCGACTTGGCTGACCGTAATTCTCAAGCAGGATATGCCGCTGTTCGGTAGAACACATCCGCAATGCCTGAATAATAACCCAGGAGCACTTATTCTCCTGTACGTCGGTGCCAATTTTCCCGGTCAGACGGTGGGTGCCGAAGATGTCAAGATACTCATTCTGAAACTGGTAAAAGCTTCCCAGCGGGACAAGAATATCCCGTGTTTGCTGGATATTATTAGGCGTGTCGAGTTGTAAATACTGCAAGGTAAGAAGAACCGATAGGTAAAAGCTGTAGTATCCCCCCTTCAACTCGCATATATTATCATACTCTGCCATGTTCCATTGTTCGGTGCTCCGGTTATCGGAAGCAATGCCGTCACATTCTTGTCCAATTTCAGTCAAGAAAGCGAATTCGTGAAAAGTCTCCATGAATTTTAGATATTCTGGGTGTTTCTGGAAGTGTTGCTTGAGGAGAATAAATATAGACGACTTGAGCAGACATCCGTCGTTGACAGCCTTCATCCCGACTGATGTTCGTCTATACCAACACGGTTTGCCTCGACGGGTCAATGAGTTATCCATGATGTCGTCATGAATTAAAATATAGGCTTGGAGCACTTCTACGAGCCATCCAAGTATATTGAGGTCGTGCAACTCCTGTTCCGTTGTAGGACGATCTAGGATCGATAGACCTGTTTGTGGTACAGAGAGAGCGCGAAACATTTTGCCATTTCCTAAGTTCTCGTAGAAGCACTATTTTCAAAAGAGACCAATCAACCCTGATAGCCCTTCTTGGAAGATGTCATTTCATGGTCTTACCTTCGCAACATGGTTTATTACTTCACCAGATGCCCCATTCGAACCAAAATGCTCCTTAACATTCTCCACAAGCTCCGCGAGGACAGGGTCAAACTTGCTTCGGTCAACTGTGAAAGCCATCATGCCTGATCGGTCACTCCCGAGGTAAGGAATAGCTGTAAAACTCCCCAGAGTAGGTCTCGTTACTAATAATGATGAATGAAAGTAGGCTTGATAGCAAACCGTGGTCCAGCATCAATACTCCCTGATGGCGCTGAACAATTGCTTATAAGTCGTAACGTACTCCACAAAACGCAAGGATAGTGCCCTGTCCCGCACCTTCCACGGTCTTGTTTACACTCTTCCAAACCTTGAAGGGCATTAAACTTTCGGCATGCCTTGCCACAACATGTAGTTTGCTGGATTTTCAATGCACTCTTGCATGAGTTCCTATGTGCCTTGATATAATGGGTAGAAGTTTACCCTAGTAGGAGCAAGGGATTATGCATAATTTATTCACAAGCTACTCTTTATAATAGAATATACCTGAATTCGCTGACTTACGCATACCTTATCTGTAAGATATTATTAAAGGAAATTCTCCCACCATCACATTGCAGTTGTCTTCCCTTAAAGGACGTTAAACTTTTGGCATGCCTTGCTATAACATGTAGTTTGCCGGTTTTTCAACATACTTTTGCATGAGTTCCTATGTGTCCTGATACAATGAGTAGGAGTTTGCCCCAGCAGGAGCAAAAGACTATACACAATTCATTCACAAGCTACTTTATACAATAGAATATACCCGAATTCGCTGACTTACGCATACTTTATCTGCGGGACATCGTTAAAAGCAATTCTCCCACCGTCACATTGCAGTTGTCTTCCAAGTCCTTCATTTATTTCCCAAACATTCTAGCACCCTGCACATGTAATCCTTCAACTGACGAAATGTCGAAATCATACCAGGATCTTGGGCTATGGAATTTGCGGAACGTGGGAGGTTACCAAGTCTCACCCGACCGGCGCATGCGCAAAGACGTGATATATCGCTCGGCAAACTTGGATTCTATTGGGCATCCCGGGGCTCGTATACTTCAGTCACAACTAGGAATCAAAACTATTTTCGATCTCAGAAGCACAGTGGAACACAAAATGCCAAAGGTGTTGCTTGATGGAGCTGTTGTGTCTTTGCCCGCTGTCGCGAACCCCGATCATGAAACCCTCCAGACCTATTTCGAGGGAATATCTAAATCACCAGCGGAATCAGTCGCTCGCTTATACATCCATACCGTTAATAACTCGGTGAAGTGCTTCAGAGCTATATTCGAGTATATCAGAGATAATCCCTCATGCCCTGTGCTAGTGCACTGTGAGCTTGGAAAGGACCGAACAGGTGTCTTTATCTCTCTGCTCTTGTTCGTCCTTGGTGTGTGCGAGACGGATATAATCTACAACTACACTTTATCGCAGGACGAGATTAAGGATATTATACACGAGAGAAAAGCGAAACTTTTCAAGACTGCTTTCATGGGCGGGATTTCGGTTTCACCAATTGCCCTTGAGAATCATTTCAAGGCACTCCCGGGCTCTATGAAGCTGTTTCTTTCTGACCTGAGAGAGACGTATCGTGACGGTCGGGCTTATCTATCGTCACTTGGATTCAGTGATGTTGACTATGCTACTATCTACAACTCTCTGACGGAGAATCTCTAACCACATTCTGTAGAGTGTAGAAATGCCTTTGAATGACATATACGTTTCTTAATTTCACGTTTCGGTTCCTACGTCCTTTCTTTACATCCCTTCTCTACCTCAATAGACTTGGAACCTCACTAAGCACAATCCTTTATGCATTCAGATTTTGTAAGTCCAATTCACTATCTAAGGCATCATGCCATCCGCATATGGCTATCAACCGATGGTCCATATATAACACTCTTGATCCCTTTCCGTGCCACAACATTCTTGAACGCCTCTTCCGCCTTTTTAAAGTCAAACTCATGCGTCACCAAGCCATCAACCCGGACCCGTCCAGAACTCAGCAGTCCAATAGCCAATCTATAGTCGCCCGGCCCATACCGAAAACTCCCCTTGAAGGCGATCTCCTTATCGCAGACCATTCCAACCGGGAAGGCCACAGTAGGCTTTCCTAGTCCAACCTGCACAAAAGTACCTCCAGATGCAAGGACGTCAATCCCACACGCAAGACAAGCTTCTGCCCCTGAGGCATCAAGAACAACATCAACGCCCTCAGGTAAACCCGTGAGAGCACGAATCTGCGCTTCATTACTACTACCCCCCTCAGCCTGGGCTGTCTGCATCCGATAAGTATGCGTTGCGCCATAACGACGCGCACATTCTAGTCTCTCCTCCACAACATCAACAGCTACCACCGTACTAGCTCCAAACGCAGCAGCCACGGCACAGCAAAGTAATCCGACCGGACCAGCACCAAATACCACCACACTGCGATATTGCATATCGCCTCCCAAACGACAGGCATGTACTGCGACACTCAAGGGTTCGACCAGCGCACCATCACGAAAGGACACAGTGTCGGGAAGCTTATAGCAGCATTGAGCAGGAACCCGATAATATGTGCACAGGGTACCATTGACGGGGGGTGTGGCAGCAAATTGCATGGACGTGCAGAGATTGTATCTGCCGCTGCGGCAGTACGAGCAGACGTTGCAGGAGATTCCAGGCTCCAAGGCTACACGATCGTTCACTTTCAGTCCATCGACCTTGCTTCCTGTAGCCACGATCATGCCGGAGGACTCGTGGCCGAGAACAAGGGGCTGGGTGACTTCGTATCGACCGAGCTTTCCATGCTGCCAGTAATGGATCTGTGTGAAGACGGTGTCAGAGACTCGTATCTATTATGAATGAGAAGAAACATTCACGTACATCAGAGCCACAGAGACCGGTGGCTACCACGCGGACAAGAACATCCCGATCGGATTCTATAGTCGGGATTTCGCGCTCAGAGTAGGTGAAAGTGCCGCCCGGGTGCAAAACCAACGCACGGTTTACCGATAGCTGCGGTGTTGTCATATTGGTATCCTTGATTATGATTAATCCGAGAGATTTTTGGTCTATGCATCCATGCACTGCTTTGGTCTAATCTTATAGATCAAACATCGTCTCACATTGCGTACAGCTTGAGCGGCGATTGGCCCGGCGCTATCGCCGAACGAATCAACGGTGCCACAGGCTGGAAATATCCCCGAGAGCCCTTCCCCACCACTACCCCACATTTGTCCAGTTGTCCATCGATTCCCCCGCGTCTCGGAGGTATCGCCGCCTAATTTTTGAAGTATGGCAAAAATGAGATCCAAAGGCGAAATAAATCACATAAATATGGCACTTCCCCAATCCTTTCAGAGGTAGATCTTCCTCCTACAACGTTACGCACATCTAACACAATGGAGATCATCCAACAAAAACCCACCAACTACGCCATCCACACCAGCCCAGCCAACGACCTGCGGCTAGTGGAATGCGAAATCCCCAAGATCGCACCAACCGAGTGCCTAGTGCACGTTCGCGCGACCGGAATCTGTGGCTCTGATGTGCACTTCTGGAAACATGGGCATATTGGACCCATGATCGTGACGGGCGACAACGGACTAGGGCACGAGAGTGCCGGCGTGGTACTACAAGTCGGCGAGGCCGTTACACGCTTCAAGCCTGGTAAATTCCTCCCCACCTACCTACCTACATACAACCGCCCACTAACCATTTCAACCTCCAGGTGATCGCGTCGCCCTCGAATGCGGCGTCCCCTGCTCCAAACCCACCTGCGACTTCTGCCGAACAGGTCTCTACCACGCCTGTCCGGACGTGGTCTTCTTCTCCACACCTCCGCACCATGGTACCCTTCGCAGATACCACGCCCACCCTGAGGCCTGGCTCCACAAGATCCCCGACCACGTTTCCTTCGAAGAGGGCTCCCTTCTCGAGCCACTGACCGTCGCGCTGGCGGGTATTGATCGCTCTGGATTACGACTCGCTGATCCACTAGTTATATGCGGCGCAGGACCCATCGGTCTGGTCACTCTACTCGCTGCCAACGCCGCTGGCGCTGAGCCCATCGTCATCACCGACCTCGATGAGAACCTTCTCGCGAAAGCAAAGGAGCTGGTGCCCCGCGTCCGACCAGTCAAGGTAGAGAGGGGCGAGAGCTCGGCGGATCTCGGTCAACGGATCATATCCGAGCTGGGACAGGAGGCGAAGCTTGTGATGGAGTGTACGGGTGTGGAGAGTAGTGTGCATGCTGGTATCTATGTAAGTTTTCTCCTCCTTTTCCCTAATCCACAAATATAATTGTCTACAGTGATATGTGACTGACTGATTGATACAGGCCACCCGCTTCGGAGGCACCGTGTTCGTGATCGGAGTCGGAAAAGACTTCCAGAACATCCCGTTCATGCACATGTCCGCCAAGGAAATCAACCTCAAGTTCCAGTACAGGTACCATGATATCTACCCCAAGTCGATTGCTCTAGTCGCTGCGGGTATGATTGATCTTAAGCCGCTGGTGTCACATCGGTATAAGCTGGAGGAGGGGTTGCAGGCGTTTGATACGGCTAGTAACCCTCGTTCGGGGGCGATTAAGGTGCAGATTTTGGATGATTAGATACAAATAGAGAGATAGAGAATTTTGATTGTGTTTACTTGATGTAACGAGCCGAGAACATAGTTCGATCCTAATATCCTTGGTAATAGGCTTACTACTGCTCATTAAGTTGAATAAGGCAACCATATCTCTAATCAAGGTATCTCCAAGTTTCATTGTTTAGTTATGTACATCCGTCCGCAAAAGTCAGCAGAACCACACATACGACCCATCACCATAGCCTGAACTAAGATGTCAAATTTCTGAGATTAAGCCTTCGCCTTCAACACCCTCTGCTCCTCCGCCCAAGCAAGCGCACTCTTCCTCACACTCTCCTCACCCACCTCCGAGAAAATATCTACTCCAATTCTAGCCGGGAAATTCATCCTCTGGTGTCGCTCCAGTGACTCGATAGTAGAGAATGCGTCATCGGGGAGGAGGAAATCTTTTCAGTGCATATCAGCATATAGAAAAACTATGTACTTGAGGGCAAACAGGGGGATTACCTTGGAAGTTACTCTCGATTCTCTCTGGGGTCACGGATTTGGGAAGCACGACTGTTCCGCGCTGCACGGCCCAGCTGATTAGGACTTGTGCGGGGGTTTTGTTTAGTTTCTTGGCTGTTTCGATGACAAGGGGTTCGTCAACGGCGCTGTATTATCTGTTAGTGGATTGTGGTATGTGAAGATAGAAGATTTGGTGCATACCGGGGAATGTTATAGATGTTGTTGCCTAGAGGGGAGTAGCCTGCTATTACGATTCCCTGTACATTGTCAACTTAGTATGATAGACATGCAGTTAGGGATATAAAGTATCTTACCTTCTGCGTCGACCACTCCAGCAGATCCTTCTGCTGCAGGAACGGGTGAGCCTCGATCTGGTTCACTGCAGGGGTAATCTTCGCTCTATGTCTACCGTCAGCTTTGATACAGACATAGTATCAAAGACACTCACGTCTTCAACAACTCCTCAATCTTCTCGCGAGTAAAGTTGCTCACTCCGATCGAGCGAACCTTGCCTTTCTCCACTAGTTTCTCCATAGCAGCCCATGTATCCTTGATCGGAACATCCACGACATCAATCAGACCCGTTTGTTCATTAACGGGCTGGATGGTGGTTGTTGAGTATCTGAAAGCGACAGGCCAGTGGATCTAACATTTCTCAGCATCACTTCAACAGCTAGTGGACGCATCGTCAACATACAAGATACAGATCAAGATAATCAGTCTGCAAATCAGCGAGCGATTTATCCACAGCCTCTTCGACGTTCTCAGGATGGTGGTGGGTGTTCCATAACTTGCTTGTGAGCTATACAAACATATTAGCCATGTGTCATGTAGTTTAGTTCAGTTCGAGACAAAGCTCACGAAAATATCCTCCCGCGGAACACCAGACACTCTAATCCCATCACCCACTTCCTGTTCGTTGCCGTACACTGCTGCGGCGTCGATGTGACGGTAACCGCATTTCAGGGCTGCGATGACGGCATCGCGCACTTCGTCTTTCTTCGATTGCTATTTAATTGTTAGATATGAAGCGCATTTGTTTTGCGTAGAAATAATTGACGCACCCATGTTCCGAGGCCAACGGCAGGCATGTCATAGCCCGTGTTGAGCTTAAAAGTGCGACCTAATGCCATCTTTATAAAACCGATGTTTTATAGTAGGTGACTTGTTGGAAAGAGTAGAATGGCCACAGTAAATGAGAGTGCGAACGGTGGGAAGTGTATGTTTGAGCAATTTGAGCAACTATGCGGAGGTAGTAATGATATAACTATCGTCTATTTTGAGGTAATAATTCTTCGAGAAGGAAGAATATAGATCGCGTATAAATAATGACGTTGTCGGAAAAGTAGTAGGGTATCCGGATGCTTTTCCGGGCTATTTTCCGAGCTTCCCATAGGATAATATCCCACGCTGTGGGGCAGTGGAAGAGATCGCCAATATCCATTGTCGTTATTTTCCCGTAGGAATCCCCCAAGGTAGTGAGAAGCAGATATAACGCAAAATCAGGATGGAGATCTAGGTTAACCGGAACGGACAAAGGTGTTGAAGCAGGCCTCCATGGCTTCCGGTTACAAAAATCCAGATGCTCGGCACACGGTATAGTCGCAGTGACCAGGTCGATAGCAATGCAATAGTCCATGTTATTGAGAGCTGCGCAACTCGCAATTTGGCGTATATAGAAGGAGTGCTTCAGGTGCCACAGGGTAGCGGAGAAGCATGATCTACCTGGATACTAACTAAAGATTAATGTTTTGGGATTGATTACCATAACCTCAAGCAGATACTCCCGCGGTTGCACCCGGGAGTACCCTTGTGCATCAGATGCGTAGGTGATTCCGTCCGCGATTTTGCTGTGACGGTTATCTTCCCACCTTGTTGCATCTGATGTGTTAGTCCTCTCCCAGTAAAATGCGTTAGCAGAAAAGATAGTATCAAACACACCAAAATAATCAGTATTCACTTGATATAGGTCTTCGGTGTCTGCAATCTGGCAGAGAAACATGAGTGTTAATGAGGAGAGAGAACATAGATCAGAGAAGAGCGAAATAAGGGCAGGTTCAGACGGTATGATAGATATCTCCTGTGGACTAAAGAATTCAGAGCTTAAGCCGTAGGCCAATCTCACTCAGGTTTTAGGGCCAGGAAAGACATGTGAATTAAATTATGCGTAATAATACGTGGCAGAGCAATATCATACCACTGTAGTCATGTGATGCCACTCGGAATCTTCAGTATTTTGCAAGCGTGAAATCATTGGTCAACATCTCCGCCCTATACTGCAGGGACTCCAAAAGTCAAAAGTGGGGAAGAGCCCTGTTTTGCTTCTCCTCGGCATTTGAGAACAGCTCAGGGTCTGGGGAAAGATTAAGTCCCCAACAACACCTCTCAGACATCCATTGACTTTCTATCTCGATACCCATCTTGACATATACTATCGCTTATCTAGAGTATGCTTGATTTCGCTTATTAAAGTCAATTACCTTAATGTCTCTTCTGTTGACTCTTCGTGACAGCCAAGAGACCGGCTACAGCCAAGGCGGGCTATCCAAGCCAACCAGCCCAACGATTCGTCCACGGATTGCCTCCATCTGCATCCGGGTCTAGACTGGCTCAACTCTGTCGGTCCTTCTTTCCCTCTCCAATCCTGCCTTTCCGGGAAACACTCTCGCGGACCCCGCCGTGGGCGAGTCATCATGATAAGAACCTTCTCCGCGGGGTTTCTTCTAAATCCCCCCATGCATGCATGTCTTTACGCCCTTTATAGATAGTCTGCTACTTCCCCTCACTTCTCCTCCCAGTGACACCACGCTTGGCTCATCATGCGCACTTCTTCGCAATCTTCTGGTCTCTGTCTGGCCTTGATGGTCATGTCTCTGGCCCTTCCAGCGTCTGCTGAGAAGGTGCTAGGTGCTTACATCTTTGCTCGGCATGGAGACCGCACGGCTAAGGTGCTGAAGGACACGGAGTTGACCGATCTGGGTTACCGTGAGGTCTATACCACTGGTACCTACTGGCGGAGCCGCTACATCGATTCGGACTCCTCTCTGCAGATCCAGAATATCAGTGAAGACATCGTCAAGCTGAGCCAGATCAGTGCCTCCACCCCCTCTGACGATGTGCTGCAAAATTCTGCCACAGGATTCTTGCAAGGAGTCTATCCGCCTGTCGGCTCGTCAGCCAACGAGACCTTGGCTGATGGAACAGTCGTCGACTCTCCCCTGGATGGGTACCAGCTGATCCCCTTGTCCATGACCGACTCGGGATCAAACAGCGAGGACACCACCTGGCTGCAGAGTGCGACCAATTGCCAGAATGCGGAAGTCAGCAGCAACAACTACTACAGCTCGTCCTTGTATAATTCACTTCTTAATTCTACCAGCGATTTCTATCAATCGCTTTCGTCGCTATTGAACAGTACCTTCTCCGAATCTTCAATGAGCTTCAAGAATGCCTACACCATTTTTGACTACCTTAATGTCGGGTCCATTCACAATACCACCAATGTGCCAACAGCAGAGCAACTCCACCAGGCCTTCCTGCTGGCTAACATTGAGCAATACAACCTAGCTTACAACTCGTCTGAGCCCGTCCGAGCCGTAGCAGGCGCCATGCTGGCAGGTGACGTTCTTCAAGGCTTGAACAAGACGATCACATCCAAGGGGAAAACCAAGCTGAATATTCAGTTCGGCTCCTACGGCACGTTCCTCTCCTACTTTGGTCTGGCACAACTCCCCACTGCGGACGTCAACTTCACTGGAATTCCCGACTATGCTTCCTCTATGGCATGGGAACTGGTGACGAACTCAACCTCAAGTGAATTTCCTTCCACTTCCGACATCAGTGTGCGATTCGTCTTCCATAACGGTACACTCAATGAGTCAAAGAACGATAGCCCTACTGAGTACCCACTTTACGGCCGGTCAAGTGCCACTATTTCCTGGTCCGACTTTGAGCGTCTGAGCACGAAGATTGCCGTCACATCGCAGTCGCAGTGGTGCCAGGCATGTGGTAACACCGATGGTCAATGTGCGTCTTACTCGACCGGCTCCAACACTACCTCTACTTCTACGCCTCAGCAGAAGTCAAGCAGTGGTATCTCCCGGGCGGTAGCGGGTGTTATCGGTGCAATGGTAACTTTGGCGGTCATTCTTGGTGCAGAGGCGCTCCTCCTTCTCGTGGGAGGATTCCGCATTACCAAGAAAGGCGCAGTTGCACAGAACGCAGCTGCCGACGAGGAAGACAAGACCTCTTAGGAGAGACTAAAAGCAGTGAGCATGTATTCTTGATGAGTTTGGATGAGCGATGATTTTATGATGGCTGGAGCATCGTGATTCCCAGTCTTATGCTACTTTTTCCACCAATAACTGGCTTCGTATCGGCATCCTGGTCCGATTTATAATGAGCCTACATTAGCACTACAGTCTTTATGATATTCTACCAAGTTGACGCTGCCGTCATTCCAATATTCTGCGCCGCACCAAATATTCCTCGTAGCTATTTCCTCTTCCACCTCGG